CATTCTTTAGACACGGCAGTGTGTGTGTGTGTGTGCATCTGTGCATGTGCACGTGTGTATGCATGCATGTCTGTGCATGTGAACCTGTGTGTGCACATGTGAACCTGCATGTGCACGTGAGCGCACACACGTGCATGTCTGTGCGCGCATGCACGAGTGTGCATGTCTGCATGTGTGCACGTGTGTGCCTGCACGTGTGTCTGTGCATGTATGTGTAGGTGCACGTGCACATGTGTGTGCGTGCCCATCCTTGTGTACATGTGTGTGCGCATGTGCGTGTGTGTGCATGTGCACTTGTGCTTCTGTGCATGTGCACATGTGTGTGCATGCACATGTGTGTTGTGTACATGCGTGTGCACATGACCCTGCATGTGCACGTGAGCACACACGCACGTGCATGTCTGTGCACGCATGCACGAGTGTGCCCCGCATGTGTACATGTGTGTGCGTCTGCATGCACGTGTGTCTGTGCATGTGTACCTGTGCGTGCATCTGCATGCACGCGTCTGTGCATGTGTATGTGTGCATGCATGTGCCTGCATGTGTACACGTGTGCACATGCACGTGTGTGGCTGTGCATGCGCGTGCATGTGCATCCATCCATGCACCCACGTGTGCGCATGTCTATGCGCGCACGTGTGTGCGTGCACGTGCGTCTGTGCATGCGTCTGTGCACACGTGCACGTGCACATGTGTGTGCGTGCCCGTCCATGTGTGCATACGTGCATGTGTGCGCATGTGTGCATGTGCGTGTGTATGCGCGCTTGTGCTTGTGTGCGCGTGCACATGTGTGTGCATGCACGTTTGTGCGTGTTGTGTACATGTGTGTATGTGTTTTGCTTATTCCTTAGAACAAATTCTTAAAACTGAAATTACTGAGACTTATACAGGGTGAAGAAATTTCTGACGCACGTTTTAACCATATTTCCCGACTGCCATGTGGAAAGGTCGCGCCAGTTTATAACCCCCCTCCCCACCCCCACTAGCGGCAAGGCGTTTGCCTTCGGGCATTCCCGTCGGGCCTTCTCAGAGGCAGCCTGGGCCTCCTGCTGCCTGCCTTTATGTGAAGGCCGAAGGCCTCAGAGCTGATGGGTTTACTGTGTACACCTGGCAGCATTATAAGTAACCCAGTCACTTCGCCAACCTACTGGGGGTCCCCTCTGCTGGGACCCTGAACCTGACACTCGGTACCTGAGCCCCAGTCACCAGCCAGGGACAGGTAGGTTGAGCTGCCCATGGTGAGACGCCGCTGCAGAGTCGCAGGGCTGCTGGCAGCGCTCTGGGCCGCACGGGTGTGGGCTGGGGTCACTGGGAATCCAGATGTTTCTAGGTTTCCTGCATTTTGGGGGGCTGAGCCTGGCCCCCAGGGGCTGTCACCCGGTGCTGCCTGCCTCGGGGAGAGGCCTGCGTGCTGGGCGCTCACCTCGGTGGCCGTCCACAGACAGCTGTGGACCTTGAGCTGGCAGCTCAGCTTCATGCCCGCGCAGCTCATCCTCTGCACCTCCAGGAGGCCCTTCTCCGTGTTCGCCACCGTGTAGTTTCTGCCGGGGCGACAGGCGTGCGGTCGGCTGCGGTGGCCGGGGACCGCCTCCCCCACCCTGGCCGGCCTGCAGCGGCCTCGGAGGCGGACATCAGCTCTGGGCTTTGTCCACCGTCCCGGGCCCAGGGTTGAATTTTGTCACGCTCAGCGGGGCTCGAGGACCGACTGCTCCAGGCCTGTCGTGCTTGACCGTCCGGGCGGAGAAAGGCGGCCCCCAGGGAAGAAGCTCTGCTCCAGGCCCTGTCCTCCGGCCCCAGCCCCTCCACCCCCGTGGAGCAGAAGGTAGCTCCCAGCCTACAGCGCAGCCCTCCCTCGCCCCCGACGCCCCAGCGGACGCCACCTCCCGCGGTCCCCTCAGCCACCAGGTGTGTGTGTGAGCACCCCGCCGGCTCTCAGCCCACCGCCCACCAAATGCCTCTCCCTGAGTCACCCCTCGCTGCCCCCTAATCATGTGGCCGCCCCCACCTCCGACACCAGCAGGGCCGGGAGGCCTCAGGACGTTACCTGGACCCCTCTTTCCCGTCCCAGAAGACCACCGTGTAGTCTTGGCCTTGGGGCGAGAAGAAGGCCGTCTGCTTCCCACAGGGCAGCAGGTACATGAAGGTCGCGAAGGTCGGGTCTTGCATCTGGCTCACCACCGACAGGGCCAGCGGTCTCTGAGGGAGAGAGGCCGCCAGGGTCACGTACATCCAGACGGATGCCTGTTCTGCCCACGGAGCCAAGGATCTGGGACCGGGGCGGAAAGACTGGGACCTGCTCATTGGAGACCCCCCCGAACAAACCAGGACCGGAAACAGGCCCTTCCTGGCCACCGGGTCTTAGTACCCTCGGCGCCTGGAGCTCGGGGAGACCACTGGCCCCTTCCAGAAACAACTAGCTTTAAAATGATAATGTGGCCTATGGCCATCCCACCCTGAACAAGCCCGACCCCAGTTGTTCTCAGAAGCTAAGCAGGGTCGGGCCTGGTTAGTACTTGGATGGGAGACCACCTAGGAAGACCAGGTGCTGTAGGTGTAAAAAATAAAAAAAATAAGGGATTGTAAACTGACAGGGTCCTTGCAATCTGTGAGGTCAACCAAGGGTTGCCTCGCCTAAAAAAACAAAAATTAAAAATAAATAGATAAATAAAATGATAACGTGATGATCGCCTCCCATGAGCAAACTTCCCAGCCATTTCTCTGCAAAGAGACACTGACGTCCTCTCTGCCCCTGTACAGGGATGGCAGAAAGGGCTGGTGCTCTGTACATGACGACCCAGCACCGAGGCTGGGAGGAAAAAACAGGTCGTTTTCACGAGGGTGATACACACGCCAAAGAAAATGATGCGGATGGATCAGGAGCCGGGGGCGTCTCTTTCTAGAAGAGGCGGGCAGAGAAGCTCGCCCTGGGCCTTCGAGACCCTCCGTGCGGGCGGGCGGGCGGCCGTACGTGCTCGAGACCCTCCGCGCCGGAGCTGCCCTCCCTCCCAAGGTACCTTCTCGGGCTGCGTGTCCCAGCACTCCACCATGAGCGCCTGCAGCCGATGGAACTGCACCTCCTCCGGCGGGCCCAGCGCCGGGCGGACGCCCTTGGACAGCTTCTTGGCGATCTGAAGCTGGTGGTGGCCCAGCGCCGGCCGCTGTCCGGACAGCAGCTCGTAGAGCACCATCCCGTAGGAGAACATGTCCACCTGGGCAGACACGCGAGCCCAGTCAGGTCCCCTGCCTGGGCTCGGCAGCTTTCGCAAGCTGGAGGGAGCGGGGAGACACCACCGGAGAAGGAAGACGTGGGTCCCGTGCGAAGGGGGACACTCGCCACCCCTCCGTCTCGCTCCACCTGTCCAAACACCTGACCAAGCATCGTTCTGTCCCTTTATTCGTCCATCTTCTGTGTCCTTCCTTCCTTCTCTCTGACCACCCGCATACTCGCCCAATCTTTTGCACATTCGTCTTCCCCGCCTTCTGTCTATCCATCCATCCGGTGCACACACACTCAGACTAGCTCACCGTCAGGCACTGGGTAAGGGCTCCGAGGGCGCCATGGGCCTCGCCCTGGACCATGAAGACAAGGCAGGACAACACAGACCCTGAGCTCAGCGTGCTCGCCGCTAGATGAACAGTGTATGCAGACCCTAAACGGGGGGGCACGTCCCCTAGATCACACCAGGCTGACTCCTCTCATTTTAATGTCAGAAGAAGGCCTAGCGAGGAGTTATGCGGGCTTCCAGAAGGGGCAAGAAATAACTTCTCGGCAGGATAAGAGCTGAGGTAGACCTGAGAATTTTCAGTATGAAGGTTCCTATTATAATCTCAGTTTTGAGGCGCTCGGCCTGCGTCCCCTGCTACTAAGAAGCTCTTGTTTTTGGCACACGGATTTGCCAATTATTATTATTATTATTTTTATCTCGTTAATGGCCACAGGTGCCAGGTCACCTCTCACGCGCTTAGGGCATCCTTAAAGCAATCAGGCCGTGAGCCATCTGCTCGGAGCGGGGAACACGGCGCTGGGCAGCTGCAGGCAAGGGGCCGGGTACCTTCTCATCGTACACGATGCGGGGCCGGATCTCTGGGGCCTGGTAGCCAGGCGTGCCCTCCACGCCCAGGGCGCCCTCGTGAAATGACTGCCTCGAGATCCCGTAGTCCGACAGCTTGATGTTGACGTGCTCCTTGGGGTCGAGGGACCAGACCAGAATGTTATCTGACTTCAGGTCGCAGAAGATAATGCTTTTCTTGTGCAGGTAGGCCAGGCCGGAGGCGATCTGGTAGGCGATCTTCTGGGTGAGCATGTGCCCCAGCGGCATAAAGGAAGAATCTTTGCAAAGAAGAAAAACAAAAATGTAGCGAACTGTCAGCTGGGCGACCGTCCTCTCTGCCTACCTTCTGTCCGCCCAGCACTTTCTGTCCTACTGACGCGTTCTCGACAGTCTCCCCGCGGGACACCGGAGATGGAGCGTGACCTCCTTCAGTCAAGTATCATTTAGGACAGACACGCCCGTTGCTGCAGGTTCATTCATGGCATCTCGGGCCCGGAAGTGCTGTTTGTACTAAAAGAGCAAGGATTCGACAGTCCTCGTGTACCTGTAGGGCCCCCTGCCCCCGGTCGCTGGACTGTCGGGGGCGAGTTGCGGGTATAAGACGCTCATTAAAAAAACGACTTTGACACTGAGGGAGAAATAATTGATTTTCATGGCATTTTTTTCTTCCTGAGTCAGGAGACAGCGACCTCCATCCTCTAGCAGTTCTTTGGAATTTAGTTACCTATTTCTCACGGTCAGTTATTTAAAAATCTTGTTAAAAAATAAGATAAGGTAAAAGTGGCCCCTGGATCACGGCCGAGAACCAGGACCTGGCACCTGGTGCTGACTTTACAGTGTGAGCACCTCTGGCCTCGATGGCACCGCCACACCGGTTTAGACCTGGTGCGGGGCCACGGAGGTCACTGGGCCAGGCAGGAGGCAGTCCCCAGGCCTACGCCGCCCGCCATGGGCTCTCGGCCTCCCTGGGGCTCCGTCGGGCCGGGCCTCGGGCCACGCCCTCGGGAATGTTCTCGGCCGGGCCGGTACCTTTGGCGTTTTCGGACAGCACGGTGTTGAGGCTGCCCAGCGGCGCGAGCTCCAGGGCGAAGCAGAGCGGGTGGATGCTGATGCCGATGAGGGACACGATGCAGGGGTGCTGCAGAGCGTGCAGCATGCTGGCCTCCTGCCGGAACTCCGAGAAGTTCTTCATGGCGTCGGTGGCCCGCAGGTGCCTCAGCATGGTGTCTGCAAGGGACAGCCCGGCGTCAGAGATTGGGGGACGGGGGTGGGGGTGGGCTGCCCCGCGGGCCCTACACCGCCCACCCAGGGACCCTGTCTGGGGCCGCGTGGTGCACGTCCCAGCCGCACAGAGCTGCCTCGTGTGGGACTCAAGGGGCTGGTGGGGCCAGGGTGCAACAGATCACGCGGCCCCATCCACGGAGGGCCGTGCATGTCCCCACCCTCGTCACCCAGCTGTCTCTCGTGCAGCCCTCACCCCGCCTCACTGCTGGCCGCCTGAGGGTCACAGTTGTATCTTATTCCAAGTCTGCATCCCTTGGCGGGCCGTAAGCAGGCCCCTGACTGGTCACCCACAGGATGCTGAGGGTTTTGTCACCGCTGCCCACTTTGTCCCCTACCCAGTGGCCAGGACACTAAAGGCAGAACAGACCACCACCTTCTAGTCCAGAGATAAAACTGTGGGGCGGCCACAGGCCTATGACATGCCGTCTCAGGCCAGAGGAGAAAGGGCTCTGGGCAGCGGTGGGTGACGTCACCCCTTTGCTGTGACCTCCCGGTGCTCTCGAAACTCGTCCCTGCGGGAGGCGCCTGCCTGTGTCCCCAGGCCCTGCTTGTCCTCCTGTGCCCCGATCTGTCCCTCCCCTGTGGTCAGATTTTAAAATCGGGGATTCAAACGGCAGGAAAAACAAATCTTGGCAGTGAAAAAGCATCACTCGTGCCGGGACTAATTTGTTTTCTCAGCGTACAAGTTTCGTTTTTCACATCGGGCCTTGAACCCATGACGAATTTGCTCGTGACCACGGAGCCCGACCCACGTCTCCACCCCGATGTCGCGGAGAGTCAGCCTTTTCCCTCCACGCGTGATGCCCCCTGCGAGGCGCCAGCTTCCCGCACACGCGCGCGCGGTCTCTGCTCTGTGGGTGGCCTGTCCTCGCCTTGTCCTCGCCCGAGAAAGCTGCCCTCGCGCCCGGGACTGACGAGTCACCCCGTGAGCTGGGCGGGCCGCCCAACTCCGTCTCGCGCGATCGGATTTTCTTGGCTGTTCATGGGTTGTTGTCGCTCCACGTGCATTTTAGAATCAGACGTCACATGCGCGCACACACACGCGCACACACGCGCACACGCACCCACTGGGCCGATGGCGAGCGTGGGAATGGGCTGAATTCTGGTGTTCGGCTCCCGTCTATAGACATTTGATGAAGCTTTTATTGGCTCTGACGTTTGTCAGCCGAGTCTCTTAGATGTCTGTGCTCGTCACGTGATTACAGTTTTGTCTCTTCCTTTCTGATCTGCTTTCTTCATGCTGTTCTATGAGTTTAGTTTTCCTACCAAGAGTGTAAATCGCCACTGTGATCCTAAAGGTGACCGCGGTGAGCCAGGGGCAGCGACAAATGTGGTGTGCAGCCGGCTGGGAACAAGGAGGCCTCCGAGCGCCCGCTCTGGCTGACCATTAAGCGGCGAGGGGCTCCACGTGACGTGTGCCTGAGTGTGCCAAGGCGAGGGGGTGCTCCTTCCTCGGTGGGGATGGGGGGCGGCGAGAAGCCACCCATGCCAGCTTCCCAATCGATACATCCACAGTGCCACCTTCCTTCCTTTAGGGGAGACGGCCGACAGGGTCCCACGGGCTGAGAGGGTCTGCCGAGGTCTGATCACGTGCCCACCACGTGCCAGGCCCGTGCTGGACACGGAGCAGGTGGAAATGATACGGGTGACCCATGCTCTTGGGGTTCATGTCTGGGCAGGAGAGTGATCCCCAAAAGCGAACTGCAAGCCTCCTTCCACCTGGCCTGTCCCGGGCCTGTCCCGTATCCCGCCAGGTACAAAACGGCTGTCCCCAGGCCCCACGATGGCGTCGCCCGCTCCCTCCCCCCCGCCTGTGCCTGTGGCCTTGGGGCTCTGTGAGGTGGCATGAGGTTTGGACCGAGCACCTGTCTGGAAGGAAGTGATCCAGGGCCTGGTTACCTGCCGGGGCGTTAGCGAAGTTCTTAAACTTCTTGATCTGGAATCGCTTCACGGCCACGGGCTGGCCCTGGTACCGGGCCCGGTAGATGACGGTGCCGCTCCCGCCCTGGCCCAGGATGCTGCTCTGGTCCTCACTGTGCTCCAGCTTACTGTTTTCCAGGAAGAGCCTGCCGAAAACACAGCGCACGTGGGGTGGGAACAGACCCCCTGGGGGGCGGGTCCCGGGCTGGGCGGACGCAGGGGCTGCTCGGTCACTTGTTCCCCCTGTGGAGAGTCAGGGATCGAAGCCGTCTGTGGGGTCAGACAGGTCTGGGCAGGCCGTGCAGCCTTGCCAACCTGTGGTCTCACACGGGGGTGGCCCTGTGGGCGGAGATGGTGACTGGCACACGGGAGCCTCTGAAAGGCGCGGATACGGAAAAAAGCTTCCTTTGGACGTTTTCCTCCCAAAGCCCGTGCGTTGAAAGCTGGGACCCATCAGACAAGCTGGCCGTAGGTACTGCTCGGTTAGCTGTTTCCCCGTTTCTTTTTATTAAGGGAAGAATTATAGAAACGACCACACGGAGCTTGGGATTGGCGTGACCAATGTCTTCGCAATCAAGGACTAGGATGTCATCTGAGGGCAGGGGGTGTAGACCTCGTCGCTGGTCTGTGTGTTCTAACTCTAGATAAACCTAGAGACACTTCTGCTGGGCTTCTGGAAAGACTGCAAGCTGCTCCTGGAATGGAGGGCCCGGCGGACCCAAAGCTTTCCCTGTCTGCGCCCTCCCTGGTCTGCCGAGGTCCACCTGGGTCCCTCATCAACTACCTCTGCCAGGTGCCCCCACTGGAGCCCTCCTGGCCCCACAGACCCCCCTTTCTCCAAGATGCAACCGTGCAATGTGTGTGACGGTTACGGGGCCACAGCCAGAGTTCCCAGAGCCTCTGCTGGATTTCAAGTCCCGTTCAGGTCGCTGGGCTTTTTGGCCAAGTAACTCAGTCTACAAGCCACGCCGCAGCTGCGATTGGAACCAAGCCAGCAGGGACCAGCGGCCTGGCTGCCCAGACTCCACGCAGCATCTCGCTGCCCAGACTCAGGGAAATCAGGTTCAGAAAATAAGTGGAAATTCGAAAACTTTGGGGCCGCCTAACTAATCAGGCACCTTCCCCAAAAGAATCGGATTCACACATATGCGAAACTCTGCATGGGGCCTCTGAGAAGCGACAGCCACACGTTTAAGATCGAGGATTAGAGGAAAGAGTAATGGGGTCACTGAAAAGAACTTTGGGGAAGTTATCCAACGTAGGGATCGGTTCTTAACGTGATAGACGCATCCAGAAGCATGCTTTGGAGCCCCGATGCTACAGCATCACAGAGCACTCCACATCTACTTTCTTGGGATGGGGGAGCAATTTAGAAAAAATGAGAATACCAATATTCTTCCTCCGCCCCCCCAAAGTTTAATTTTCTTGATCAAAACTAGATACAGCCATCCTCTGAAGAAGCAAATTACGAGACTTCGCAACTCCAGAAAGGTTGGCAGCCACCAACGTCAACGTCTCCGGGGAGCCCACACCGCAGCTTCCGGTTTCCATGACTACAGAGGACTCCACATTCTACCGAGCACCTGGATTCCGTGCCGGTTTCCTGTTGGACGGGACCCCTAACGTGTTCCATTTCCTGCAGCCCGTCTCCCCGGCTGTCATCTTAGATCGGCGGAGGGAGACTCCGCAGATTTCGGGGTTCCAAACGCTCAGCCGCAGGGCAGCAGTTAGGGGTCGGCATTTGCCGAGAGATGAAAATGAGCCTGCAGGCTGGGGAGCACCCCCTTCCGCCTTGAGACGGCAGTGAAGCGGGGCTCAGAGGGGAGGCCCAGCCCGGTTCCCCTCGGCAGCCTGGGATGGGGCCCTGAGAGTCGCCCGGGGCTGGCTGGGAGGCTGGGCGGCTGCATACCTGGCTGGGAAGTCGGTCATGAACAGCTCGGGGACCAGCTCCTGGAGAGGCACGGGGAGGTCGGGGTGCCTGGGGCAGGAGATGAAGTCGCACTCGATGGCCGTCAGCACGCAGTCTTCCATGTCGAAGTACTGCACGCCCTCCGCCCTGTCGCCGGCGTCGGCGTGCTGGGCCCAGGAGGCCTCGCAGACCGGGCAGGGCACGTACTGCTCCATGAGTGGGGTCCCGTCGCTCTCCGTGGCCGTCAAGGCTAAACGGGGACGGAGCAGGGGACAGCTCACGCACAGGCGGCTGCAGCTGGGCCCCGGAGCAGCACCCGGCAACGCCAGGCTGGGTGGGCCTCTCCTCTCCTAGGAGGGGCCTGTCTGCCGTCCCCTGGCCCCCAAAGAGTGGCTGGCCCGTGACTGCCACACACGCTGTGGGCTGGGGCTGAGCCGTGCCAGGCGCCAATGACCAAAGCACGACCAGTACGGAGCCACCGTTAGAATCAGGGAGGCCAGGCTCGCGATGGCTACGGCGCTCTCGGGAAGAGCGATGCACGGCGGGGAATGAGGACGCAGCGTAAGGCACATCCCAGTCGTTTGGCGTCGGTTCCCCCGAAGAGGGGGTGCAAAGGAATGCCCCGGAAGGCGCCCCGGAGGCGCTCTTGGGGCGAGCCGGCGGCCTGCTTCGTGCAGGGACTCCTAGAACCTTCTGGGTGCGTCTGCCACCCGAGGCTGGCGGTGCCGTCCCTGGGAAGCCCTGCCTCAGGCCCTCAGCCCGGTCCCTCCTGTGACACGAGATCCACCCCCGCGTCAAATCGCCAGCGGCGCCCACTGTGGGGGGCCCCTGGTTAGTGGGGAGGGTACAGGAGGGTTCACGTGGGCCTAGAGGCCCCCCCTCGGTGGCCAGGCACGACTGTCACAACTCACACACCAGACAGTCTTCTCTTAGGCGCCCCTAAGCTTTTTTTTTTTTCCCTTGTAGGTCACCTTCTCATCCACACCCGAAGGGCACCAGGCTCCGGTGTCCGAACTGAGCATTTGGAGCGCCCCCTGCCACTGTTCCCTAAACGCTCCCTGTGGTGCTGTCCTGGGACACAGGGGTGGGAGGTGTGCCGGAGAGGAAGCTGGCTCGGGGGGCTAGGGGACTGGCCGGCTCGGGGTCCTAGGGGACTGGACAGCTCGGGGGGCTAGGGGACTGGCCGGCTCGGGGTCCTAGGGGACTGGCCGGCTCGGGGGGCTAGGGGACTGGCCGGCAGGCCAGTGGCGCTGCTCGGATTCCGGACCCGCTGTCCGCTTGCTCAGCCATCGGCCTTCAGAGGCCGAGGGCTCCCCGGGGAGAGGCCGCCCGCCTCTGCCCAGATGGCCTCCTCCCTGCAGGACACGCTGTGGGTTTGTCTCCATTCCAGTAGCAAAACAACAGCTTCACTTCAAAGAGTATTTTCTTTGGGTGGACAGTCGATGAGGAAACTGATCAAAGGGTCTGAAGTGCAAAGAGTATTTTGTGTGGGTGGACAGTCGATGAGGAAACTGATCAAAGGGTCTGAAGAGGGCCGTGTGGGTGGCTGGGCACCTCTGGGAGCTGGGGGCGGGGGCAGGCCGGGAAGGAGAAGGGGGCCCTTGGCAGGTGCGGCCCCCGCCCCTCCATCCGTCGGCCCCCCCAGGTTCCAGCAGTGCTGGCCTCACTGTGTAAATGAGGCTGTGTGAGGTCCACACCGAG